TTTTCTGTTCTTATTCCAGCTTTACCTCTCCTTTTTCTCTTTGTCGTTCTTTTTCCCTGCTTTTGTTTCTTTTTTTCTGTCTTTGCCTTTCTTTTTATTTTTCTCTTTCTCTTTCCTCTTTTTCTATCACTGCCTTTCTTTTCTCTCTTTGTTGTTCTTCTTTCTCTTCCTTCTTTTCCTATCTTCGTCCTTTCTTTCTTTATCTTTCTCCCTTTTCTTTCTTTTTTTTTTTTTGATTTCTGCCTTCTTTGTATTTTTCTTCTTCTATCTCCCGTTTTCTTTCTTTTCTTTCGTTGTCTTATTTTCCATTGTCGTTCTTTTTGTTTTCTACGCCTTGTTTTTGCATATTTTTCTTTCTACTTTTTTCTTTTCTTTTATTTCTTTTCTTTTAACTTTCCGGCGTTTGTTTTCTTTTTCTGTATTTCCCGTTTCCTTTCACACAAGTCTCCTACTTCCTGTTCTTTCCTTTTCTATCATCGCCTCTTACTCGCCTTCCCACGCATAGACGCCATTTTGGTTATCCTGTTGCTACATAGAACCAAGGGAACGTTCTCTGACACTAGCAATCATATACAACGTTTATTTTGCGGCGGTGTCCTTAAATTTAAATCCTTTTCCTTCCTTACAATTCTTCAGGCTTAGCTCAGTGCGTTACAACAATAATTAATGAAGAGATGCCATGGAAATTCAAGAAAGGAAATTGAAGTGCTCCAATCGGGAAACATGAAAAGTATTGTTCTAAATGAACCACAAGAAAATAAGAAACAGTATTTGCTCTAAATACTTAGGAAGCTCATCTAATTCAGTTTTTGCGTAATTGATTGCCTATCGTTTATTTAATACCGATCTTTTTTTTTTATTTAAAGGAATATATAGACAATCCTTTGGGTCATTAGTTTCACCGTCTTCCAGTTATGTCTTTAAAATCGGGTTATTGCGTGCTATAATTTGTGCCATGGGCCAACCTTCTTCATGTGGGCTAGGATAGTCCACTTTTTTATCTTCTTGAAAATGTCCTCTAGACTAGAGTCCCACTTTCTCCAGTCAAACTCTTGTGGCTCAAAAATAACCCTTCGGCAAGATCGTAACCCACAAAATAAAACCTTGAGACTTTTTTTAGCAGCAAACAAATTTTATTTTGGTTGCCACCTAGTGCTACAGACGAGTGTCTTCCCTTTCGTGTCACTGCAAGGCAGTCTCTCGTCAATCTCCGTGGGTCCTCTCTCCTATCTACCGGTCTCTCTCTTTTCGGTTGGTCGGGAAAACTGTTTCATAGAGAACACAGTTCTCTGTCTTGCTATAATTGTCTAAAAATGTAATTTATCTTTATTCAGTGACCCTCTTTGTCAGAGTCGTTTGCCATGGTGCCTTGTGATGTCTGCTTAGCTGATAATCACAAGTACAAATAAGTGTCTGAAACAATTCTGCTCAGATGTTTTCCATTTAACAAGATATCGTTTGAAACTGATATAGCTACACGAGACATTTCACAAAATACGTATTGGGGCAAGGACACTACAATCGATTAAAGTATGTTAATTCTGTTAATTATTTAATGCCGAAAGCTTTTTTGAAAATTAAATATATGGCTTTGAAACAATCTTTGGGTCCTCCAGTTATGGTTCTAGAGCAGAGTTATTTAGTGCTATAATTTGTGTTATAGACTAACCTCTTTCGTGTAGATGACAAGCGTGTCTACTTTTGTCTTCTTGAAAACGTCCTCTAGATTACTTATGTCATAAAATTGTTGACCGATTGAGCAAGGTCATTACAATCGGTTAGAATATGTTTTACGATATACGCTTCGTGAGATGCTATGCAGTCAGTATTTTTTTAACGGAATATCAACATCTTTATGGGTCATTTAATATCTAAATTTAATTTTCTTGGGAGAATTAGTAATTTCTTTTAGAAAAAATGATAAAATAAGATAATTTTTATTCCACAAAAATGTATTGCTGTTACTATCTATCTATCTATCTATCTATCTATATATATATATATATATATATATATATATATATATATTTAATAATTATGTATTGCTAATAATGGGAGGCAAGGTGGAGTAATGGATAGCGGCTCGGAGAGCAGAGTTCGAATTACGTGAATATCCTTGGGAAAAGATATGAATCCTCTTCTCCCCCTCCAACTATGGGTAAATAACAGGACAAACAGAGTTCTATAGTCATGGATGGCATCTGGTCTACCGCAGAAAGAAATGGCAACCTACTACGGGAAAACATCTGCCTCGTCAGTCATGTATCGAAAGATACATGATCGCCTAAGCGTGTATCACGCATGGCACATAACTGACCAACTTAGGCACCTCGGCGTGGTTGAACGGTTAGCAAGCGTCTCTTGTTAGATCAGTCACGACTGAAAAGTGAGTACGATCCTCACTAGGTGCTCCAAACTTTCGGCCTTGTGCCACATCTAAGCTACGCTTAGAAAATAACCATGACTGATTGCTAATAATATTTTATTCCAAAATTATTGCAAGTAATAATTTTAAAAATCTTTTTTTAAACGTATTGCTGGTAATTTTTACTGTGAAAATTTATTGCTGGCACCTTCACTGCAAAAATAGTATTTTGACCCTAGTTTGGTGGTTCACTATTTGCCTATAGCTGGGACCCTAACAGGTGTTACCACCCCGGTACAAGGTTGACTTCGGAACAATAGCAATTGAAAGTTGGTTCTCTGTTCCTCAGTACTCGCTGATTAGATGTAATTCATCGTCATACTCAGGGCGTTTTTCTTTTTCAGTGGATCTACCTGAAGTGAATTGGCAAGAGTACTATGTTGAAGGGCAAATTTGAGATTTGGAGAGACTGTTCCGTTGGAAGTGCTTAAAATATTCAATTGATTGAGGGAAATATTTTAAATTGTCATGGGCAATTGATGGTGAAAATAAATAAACATCTGTGTTAAATTTGTGTGCTGATATTTTTTACATTACCCGCCTTCATGATAATAAAAATATTTACCGGCAAAATAGCTTGAGGGTCTCTTTTACCAAGACCAGTAAAATAAACTTAAAAGCATGTCTATCTTACTGGGCCCGGCAAAATAAATTATCCTCCCCCCCCCCTTTTTTAAAAAGAGAACTGAGTGGGGGATATAGGTGTGTCCTATTCTGATTCATGAAAGAGTGAATTCTTTCTTCTGCTAAAGTATGAGACCTTGATATTATTTTCCAAGAATGGGTTTACTTTTGTAAAATTTATTTGGATAACAATTCCATAATTCTTGTCACGCTAAGAGTGCATGAAATTATAGTTGTTTTGAAGTCTGTATAGCGATTTTAAAATTTGAAATGTTAATTTTTATATACCCCTTTGCTGCCATGTAAGTTTTGACGATATGGCTATGTACCAAACAGACGACAAGTTTTTTGTTGAAGATGAGATTCATCCTTTTTAGTAAACTAATATTAAAAGGTTCTTTGTACTTTCGTTTTTCAGTTATTATAAGTAAGGATATTGAACCTGACAAAACGATTAACTTATGGTGTCGAAAGTTTGTATAACTTCAGCACTAAAAATAGAGGATTTGTTAGGTGGATTTTGATTGTTGTTATCGAGAATAGCAGACCATCAAACTACTTCTACCACAATAGCTTAATAATGACTCAGCCGTCAAAATTAACCACTTAAAAAGTTGACCTGAAATCTCCCCAGCCGAGGCTGCTGACCCGAGAGAGAAATACCTGTGGACAACGCTATGATTAATATATGCGTGCGTGAGTAAAAACCGTCAGAGAAAATCAAGGAATGTGTTTCGCCCCGAACAGGTCAGATCTTCAGGCGAAGTACATTCTTTCGTTCTACCAGTCCAAACCATCAGATCTAGGACCCCATATTACAGGTACCCCTCATTCCCTTCATATTCCATTAGTGAGGAAGAAGTTCCCCACAGCTTTTGCAAGGTATTTAATTATATGAACGCAACAGTAATCTTTTGCAAATCAACACGCTACATCCATTAATTACTCACCGTAATGAATCTGACAATAACTCTGATTTAAAAATTGCTACTTAATTAAAAGAGAAAGTAATTTCTAAAATATGTAAAATATATAATTTCTAAAATATATAGAAAGTGCTTTAATTGCTCGATCATCTAAATTAACAACATTCTTGACAGTTCTTCTATGATCAGGATGTGGGATATTTAATAATAAATGTGATCGAAACAATAAAGAAAAAGAAAAATGCATATTCACGTTCTTGCAAATGACCCTGTGAGAAGTTATGGGTAAAATAGCAGGAAACACCGCTGTCCTAAAGACTTGATAGCCAGTATACTGCAGACAGTGACGGCCGCCTACTGCGGGAATTCTGCCAAGTGATCATGAATTGAAAAGGGACAAGATTTAGGTTTTATGTTGGATGCACATATGGCACCTAAGAACGAAAGTAAGTTCTTGTGGGTTCAATCTCAAGCTCAAGCTTTAGTCTATAGGGGTCAAGTAATAATAAACGAAGAAAATAGTGCAATGGAGAAAACTTAGAAAATAAGTTCGCCACATTTTTTTAAATACCTATACTCCTAGGAAATATTTCTTCATTGTTCGCGCCCACTAAAAAAGGAACGTCAGAAAGAGGAGGTTTGAATTATTTTACAAGCATCTACTTCATCGCTGATGAACAAATTAATCCTGAAAAACAATTAATTTACCTAAAAATGCATTCATAGAGTAATTGGATTTTAATTACTAAACAGACATGAAAATGAATTATATAGATGAAAAGAATATTCAATTATTTCTTAGCTGCTGCTTCTCGTTCATGATTCTGTCAAAATGTGGAATATTCTTGCTGATTGCGATTTGCGGGTTTGCTTTTACTAATTAACCCATAGAAGGGAAGGAAGCGGTGGATTCATGCCTTTCCCAAGGGTATTTGCGCGTAAGTGAAGATAAAGAAACCAACAGAAATTGGAACACGGTTGTCCGATTAACAATTCAAAACCTTATCCTATTACATATATCCAAGCTTACAGCGCCTGGTATTCCCAAAGCGTCACGCATCGAAGTACTGACCAGGCTCGACGTTGCTTATCTTCGGTGATCGTACGAGAATCGGTGTTTCAACATAATGGGGCCGCAAGCTATATTTATGGGAGTAGATTAATCTCGTCCATGTCTCGGAATATCTCGTTTTTTTTTTTTTTTTTAGTACTGCCGAGTTTTTGTTTGTTTGTTTCCAGTTAGTACGATTCAGTATTACTCAGTGTTTGGACTCACAATTACTATGCCAAATTCACCAACCAAAACTATGATGCTCTAAACCAATTGTTCGCAAACTATGGTACCCACATCCACAGGAGATACGAGATGGGAATTTCATGTGTGACATAGTGACGCCTGTACTTGAGAAATGAAACATCAATCAACCAGCTGTTAGAGTCATTCACTAACACGCAAATGGGTATAAAATGAATGAATCCACATCTTCTGCCCCCAGATATGGGTTAATTAATAAACGTTCTATCACTAAATCATCATGTATCTCCAAAAAAAAAAAAAAAAAATTCTTACAAGCTAAAAATATATTCCTGCTTTAAATAACCTGCAAAAGGTTGATGAGCCGTAGAAAATGAATGAATCACTCAATCGTAGATTTAATAAAGTGTTCAGTTTTGAATTCACTGAGTTTACAGCTGAAGGTGAGTACATTAGGCGGACTGTAAATAATGTAAATTTAATAAATGGCCACAATTCCATCTGTCAGAAATAACAAAGCATCACTCAACCTGCTGCTCGTAGATCACGGGATCGTTAGGGACATTTCACCTCTGAAAATTATCGCCGCCTATTGTACCCATTGAAGTTATAAATGAAAAAAAAAATTATATCATAAGCAATTAATTTGCGGATCCAGTTTTCTTGAGTCGATCGATAGAAAAATCTAGAAAGAGCGTGAATTCAAAAGCAGTCCTGCTGATTGCAATCAGCAAGAATGTTTTGACAGAATCAGGAACCAGAAGCCGAAGCTAGGAAATAATTGAATTTTCTTTTCACATATATCATTCATTTTTCTGTCTATTTTGTAATTAAAACCTAATTACTCTGTTTGTGGTTCCATTTTTGTTGAGCTAAATTAACTAATTTATTCAGATCAATTTCTTCATCAGCAACGAAATATGTGCTTGTAAAATAATTCATATCTGTTTGACGTTCCTTTTTTAGTTGGCACGAACATTAAGGAAATATTTCCTAGGGGTGTAGAGTATTTAAAAAAATATGGCGAACCTATTTTCTAAGTTATTACTCCATTGCACTATTTTATTTGTTGTTTTTTTTAGTACTGCTCAGTCCTTATTAGTCCTCTATAGAGTGAATTATAGTTTGAACTACCCGACTTTGAGATTGAACTCGTAATGACTTCCTTTCTTCTTCAAGTATCTTTTCGATTTATGATTACCTTGTCAGGGCAAAGAAATTCCCGCAGTAGGCTGTTGTTGCTTGCTGGCTTAGACTGGTTGCTAAGAAAGGCCATAGGACTCTGGTGTATCCTTCTATTTAAACCATAACTGGATTCATTCATACGTTTCCAAAAATATGCTGGCGCACAAGACGACTGTGCGTATAAACCGATCCCCAAATGTTAAAATGTAACTTTCGAGCTATATTCGACGTACAAGACCCCATTCCAATTCGTTTTTAAAGGTTTATAGTAATGAATTCATTAAATAAATTCAGTAACTATATACGTTCTTTTCCCTCAAATTGTAATCAAAAAGCGGTGGTGGGATATTGTCAATTAACTACCACAATCTACAATACCTCAAGAGTGGGGGCTGTGTTTTCAGTAGCCTATGCATGAGATCCGTAGACGTATTTGGGATGGCCAAGGACGCATTCCAAAAGCTGGGTAGAGTATTGCGAGACAGGAGGATTTCTTTGGTAACAAAGAAAAGAATACTGAGCTGTTACGTGACACCTGTCCTTCTTTACGGCAGCGAATGTTGGGCGGTCACCACAAAGGTGAAGAGACTCGAGGCGACGGAGATGTGGTTCTACAGAAAGATGCTGAGGATATCATGGACCGAGCGTGTGAGCAACGATGACGTTATGGTGAGGATGCAAACAAAGAGAAGGCTTATACTTAACATCAGGAAGAGACAGCTGAAGTTTCTGGAACACGTAATGAGAAAGGAGGGCCTAGAAAATCTGATACTCACTGGTCGAATAGAGGGAAAGAGAGACAAGGGAAAGCAACGCCTGACATACTTGGCGGGCTTATGCAAATGGATGACAGAAAGCGGTCTGAAGGAGGTGACAGAGGGATGAAACTTATTGAGAGCTACAAGGGATAGGGAGGAAGTGGAGAGCCATGATCGCTTACGTCCTGAAAGGACACGGCACATAAAAAGAAAGAAAAGAATGATTTTTTCCCGCAACCCTCCACTGTTCTTTAAACGACCTGGTGAGACACACGCCCGGTTTTGTTTTTGTCCAACATTATCGAAAAATGGGGGCGAAGTAGGGGTTAGCTTGCCTTCAAAAATCTCCCATGCGAACAAGTTATCATAAATTACAGGATTTGGAGTATAAGACGGCCCTCTATTTTTGACAAGATTTTGAAGGTTAAAAGATCACCGTGTACGCCGACATATTCGGTAATTTGCGAGTAAATAAATATTTTTTCTCTATTTGTTTATGTCTCCATAACTTTTGTTATTAAATATCTTACGTTTTGATAATAGGAGATCTGCCAAGAAAGGTGAAATGTTTGACGAGCCTGGACGCAAATTAACTCTAGATGGTCTAACAAATTGCTTTTTCTTTAAATTAGAGTAACATATTTTAAATTAAAATTATGGTCAAACTCATTACGATGAGCAACTAACGCTTTTAGACTGATGATTTGTAAATATCACTTTTGTGTTCATATAATTAAATTAGTTGACGTTTCTATGTATTTCTTGGGTCAATTATTGCGGGTAATGTAGTAAGTTCCTTCTTCACGTATGTATATACCGAGTGTAACAGCAAAATTATTCAAATCGTGTAACAGCATGGGATAATTGTCCATCCCCCAAAATGTTTAATATCTAAAAAAATAAAAAAAACTCTAAACTAATTGAGTTTCTTTTTTTTCCAGATTTTCAGATAAGATGTTTAGTCATCTTGACGCAATTTGTCGTAAGAATTACTGAAAAACCCTTTCAGTTATGTAGTTATAAAGAAAACTTTGTGTCAGCTCCGGTATGTCTTCCCAACTAAGCAACAGTGAGAGGAAAAAGATCATTCAGGCCTTCAGTAATGGTACATACATAATCTGGCTTACATCTTCAAAGTCCATTCAAGAACCATCAAGAGAATGGTGAATAAGTTTAAAAAAGAGGGAACAGTAGAAAGGAAAACTGGATCAGGAGGTCACAACAGCAAGAGGGGTCATCATTTTAAGATAGAGTTGAAGACATTCTTATTGGTCACAGTAGATTCCAATAGTGTTACAAAAAACTCGAAGAATTACACTAAGATATCTAATTATTTCTAAAATACAACGGTTTAGGGCTTAATCTACATATTGGACAATTTTGCTGTCACAAGATTTGGACAATTTTGCTGTTACAAGATTTGGACAACTTTCCTGTTACACCTGTTATTTTACAATTACAAATTTACTTCAGATTTCGGAGTCACATTTTTCGTTCTTCTGAATCCGACGTTGTAATTAAATATCAGCATTACTTATCCTACAACATATCGACTATCGTGACCAAACTGGTATAAATACGTCAATTTTGACAACTATCACAGTTAACGGATGCATTGAAACCTAGCTAGCTAGATAGATATAGTGAGATTTGAAAAGAATGAGATAGATAGATAGATAGATAGATAGATAGATAGATAGATAGATAGATGTGAACGGAATGATATAGTGTCTATAATTCATGGAAAACTTCGCCTATGCTGACGGAATATACTGTAGTGATCCTAAAAAATATATATATATATATATATATATATATATATATATATATATATATATATATATATATATATATATATATATGTGTGTGTGTGTGTGTGTGTATATATATATATATATATATATATATATATTTATATATATATATATATATATGTATATGTATATATATATATATATATATATATATATATATATATATATATATATAGCTTTAAGGTTCGCTGTATTTATGGGATAAAGTGCTCAATATCAGAGATAGAGCCTATGTAAATATAAATATAAAAGTGAACATTGAAGTCAATACTCAAAAGCAACAGGCTGTTTCATGCTGGATTACCAAAGCAAACTATTAAATAAGCGACCTAAGCAATCCCCCTCCAAATTTTTTTACCACGTTAATAAAACCTCAAAAAACGAAAAGAATAAATAACACAAAAGCCCCTGTCGTAAAAATAACCGCCAGAATAGATTACCCACAATGCACTACTGACCCATATATATAAATAGCCGAGGTAAAATCCAGCATTCGCGGCCTGAGGATTGCGTCCAGCATAAAACAGCCTGTCGGCTCTGAGTGTTGACTTCAATGTTTACTTTCATTATATATATATATATATATATATATATATATATATATATATATATATATATAATGAAAGTGTTTTTACAGACAAGGTTAACGGTGTTCAATAAACAATTCAAAAAATAGAAAGAGTAGAGGTAGCTAAAATCTAAAATAATAGAGACTGTTAGTATTTGTAATATTTCAGATCTTGAAGAGGCCAAATTTGAAGCAGGACTCCTGTCGTCTGTTTAAATTCATACTTTCGTTTTTTATATATGGCTACTTGCAGTGGGGGTGGAGGAGTTGCTTGGACACACGCACAAACATACACACATACACTGTACTTTATATATAAGATATAATTACAAACTGTAATTTTGGTAAGTGAAAAGTTACTCGAAAAATTTGTAAATTTACCAGGTCTTCGCCTGAAGTTGAGAAAATACTAACTTACAGCCATATTTGTCAAAATATAGGAGTAAAGAAGACACTTGATTAAATTGAAGTCAAGATGAGAATATGTGTTAGATTAAAATCATTTGCAATGCATTTTTATAACAACATTTGCAAGGAATGTATATAGTGAAATCATTT